GGGTGACAACTAAAACAAGCTCTGAGAGAGAGAAAGAGAGAGAGGGAGAAGAGCAGAAACAAGAGAAAATTCAGAGCCAATGGACCAGAAAGGTGATGGCTACAAAGATGTTTGCATTTGGAGAACTTGAGGAAACCAATGCAGTTGTATTCCTATCAACTTTGACCAGCTCACAAACTCAACTGAACACTGTCATATCACTCATTTTTACTTAAAATTTGTGTTGCATGAAAAAAACAACAACATACATTTATTACATACCGTAATTTAGAGTATTGTGGTGACAATATCCGTTGTGATGAACCCTGTCTGATAAACTTTGTGTCATTTTGTATTTTGGAGTCCGGACACCAAGGACAGAGAGTTCACTGAACAATTAATCACATGAAAAATTTAAATAAGGTCAATAAACTAAAATAAGGTCAATAATTTTCTTTTTCCTGGTTGTTTGTTCTGTTCGTGTCTCCCTCTTTTCAACCCCTTAGCGTAGGAAGGAGTGAACTCTAGCGTCAGGTATTTGCCAAGCACATGGTCTCATAACATTGGTAGCACAAGAGCCTCCGATCTGTCCGTAACTTTACGTAAATTTCATAAACTTCTGTAAAATTCGTAAACAGTGTACACTCAGTTCTTTTATGAAGCTTGAGGAAGACACATACAGAATAAATTGCTTGGACAGATGAGGTGAGAAGCAATTTTACAGCAGTGTGTTTTCCCAGTTTCCGGCCCAGTTCAGTTCATAAACAATTCAATAAATAAATGTTTTTTACATATGTAAATTTCATCATTATATTGTGTTAGTTTAAAATATTCTTCTAACAATGTTTTCATTTATTGCAATAATGTCTGAGAAAGTTTACCATTCAGCAAAATGTGTTATTGTGACAGGCCTACATGTGTGCAACATTAAATACATGGCACTTGGAATATAATTAACCAATGATTCACCGCAGTAGCAGGACTTTGCAACACTGATGTAGCATAAATTGATACTGCAATAATGAAAAAGTTTTGATATTTAGTGCAGCTGTACTAAAATGTTTTTAGGACACTTAAGCACCTTAAGATTAAAAGTTTCCTTTTGACACACAGGCCAACCCACACTCTTCATCTCACCATGTGTCACAAAAAACACAGACACACACACATAAGAACCTCTCTACTCCTCACCCATACAGTCATACACGCCCACAACCTTATCATTTGCGATGACATTCACAGCCTCCATTACCTGCATGCATTAACAAACCCCTCTGATGTTAAAAATTATACATTCATACATTTGAATAATTCAGATTACTCTAAAAGCTGTGCACTCTCACTCTCCCTCCGTTTTCCACATGGAATGAGAGCTATTTACTTCAAATCGCATTTGAATAAATCCTATAAATCCTTTCAAAGTTCCCTGAGATAAACCAATCAAAAAAGCCCTAAAACTGGCACAGTGGCCAATCAAAATTAACATTTAATACTTTCAGCTCATTTTTATTCACAATACATCAAATAATAAATCAAATTGCTGGGTCTATTTGTAAGACTCAATTTGTTTCAGATAAGAAAAAGGTGGCTAATAGAGTGAGACAGGGGCATCGCTGCACTTCCATAATGTATTTTAAAATCAAACAAAAATATTTTAAGAATAAATAGGTTTGCATTTTATTTATAAGTGCGGACGGAAGATGATTCTATTTGTTTAGCAAAAAGGAAAAACTTTATATATGACAGAGAAAATATTCAAGACTGAATGATGTGGGATTCAAATTACTCCTGAATTTACAATGACTTCTAACGAAACTTTATCATTCTCACCAGTGTGTGCAGATCATCATGCATGCAAAGCTGCATGAGTGAGAAGCAAATATTATCAGCAGGAATCAGAAATCTACAGTGGCAGCTTGTCTATCAGCAAAAAATTAACACCTAAATGATTTAACGGTTTTCTAACATTAAACATATAGTAATCTTCTGAAAGTGGCCATATTCGCAATAAACAAAAAGGAACTCAATGTAGAACTTTTATTTCCAATGTCTATTTTTAGTTTTAGTTTTTACACGTCTGTTTCTAACAGTCAGTTCCTCTTACTTCCTCTTCTCTGTTTTGTAAACAGCTAACTAGATGTGATGTTTTCTGCTTTGTAACACATTGTGGCTTTGGAGTATTAATAATTCATGCATTTATCTCTCTCACGCACACAAAGCACATACACGCAGTCTATGTAATTTCACATTATTTTAGCAACATTTGGCTTGATTTTAAATTTCTATTCATTGCTTATTGCTTTCAACAAAGGTGTATATTAGTTTCACTTGACATTTGAGACGTTTGTTCAAAAGGTAACTGTGTTCTAGATATTAATAGAAATAATATCTACAGTATATCATCTATATTATCAGATACATATCTGATGTTTTTCAAAGCAACTATGGTCTGAATGGTCTTGCTGCACTTCATCCAACTTTCACATTAGTGAGTTATGTAGAATATTGCTAACAACCTTGTGCCATTTAAGTCTTGGAAGTACAGACTTCTTCAGATAAGGAGTTAAAGTCCAGTTGTTTTGTCTTTGTTCTTTTAATTTGACATTTCCTGGATTACTGAGAATCAACAACAGCACATGATAGTAATGTTGGTGTCAGACCACATCAATACTAAAGTTATTGGATCGATACTTTAGATAGTTTCACTTTCAGTATGTTGATCCAATTCTAAAAATACAATGCTGCACTGCAGTAGCCAGCAAGAGGCAAGGTGCAATGTAAATATTGGACAAAACAAGCATAGCAGATAATTTAATCGGCTCTGGGACTAATTATATCAGTTCATTTTAGAAAATAATTTAAAAATTGTTTCAGAAATGATCCACACATACTACCATGTGTAGCATTCACTTATACTCAGTGTACTGAATGTGACATCACTTCTTCAGTGCCATACAGAGTTCACGTTGTAATAAAGGTTGCATTTAAAATATAATATGAAAGGCCATGCTAAAAAAGCAGATCTTAGCAAAAAAAAATACAATTGAAATTGAGCATTAGGACATGCATTGTAAACACAGCCTAATGGGGTTTCTCAAAAATATTGAAACACCTTCCTTTTTTAACTTCGCTAAAACAAGAGTAAATGTCAGATGTATTTTCATGCACATCGCCCATGTGTTAAACAGAGACGCACACAAACACACACACAGGCTCACACTAAGGTTCAAGCAGCTGGTGAGTTTGCCCTTGACTGACCAGCCTGTGGCAGTGGCACCAATGCAGCTGTTTCAGAGAGTTCTGGGTGGGATTTTATGTGTCCTTGAGAAGGGTATAAAGTTTTTTTTGTTTGTTTTCAGTTACCCTTTCATAGGTGATCAATCTGAAATCTGCATACTTCATTCTATGCCGACTTAGGCTTGGGCAGTATAAAGGTATTTTGTTATACCGCGCTATCAAAATATGAAAATGGTATAAAAAAATTATAACATATGAGTCACGTGAGGTGAAGTGCATATGAATGCTGTGACAAACATTTCCGAAGATGCCACGTTACTGACACATGTTCTGATCACCTCAGCTTATTCAGAAAACAAACAGAAGAGAGGGGGAAGCAGAGACACCCCCATATCTCCTGCCTCTATGCGTGGTAAAAAAATTAATAAATAAATAAAAAATAAAAAACATGCCACAGGCACCCCCCGTAATACCATATACCTGGTATTTATGGTCATATTGCAGTATGAAACTGAGCAAAACAGCTCAACCCAACAATTTGACTCACATCGGATGTATATTAAATCTAACTGTTAGCATTACAGTATGTATAGGTCCAAAAGAGGCTTCTAGTAGATTTGTGTTAAATTCCATCTTCAGCTTAAACATCTTTAGTGTTGGACAAACTTTTCATAAGTTGGCATAAGTTGTCTAAGAACTTAGATGTACAATGGGATTTTAAGAGGCAGAAACAAAGCACAAGACCTTAATGATTACTTTTGAGATCTACTTGTTAATTTTGTCAATATTTCTGAAGATAATCTATTTTTAAAGGTAGGAAAAAAATATATTATCACATTTATGCATATATTATCATCAACATCAAATTCCTAAAATAAAACCTAACTGTTCTACCTCTACTTTTTATGGATTTTAAAATTTCATGTTGCAATACCAGTGAAACTATAAAACTAAACCTTTTCTACACTATATTATAGGCGGACACATTTTTGTCCACAACATCATCCACCAGCATCCTCTTCAATACACAAATCATAAAACTGATAATACCCTTGCTCCCAGATAAAACAGCATGCCTATCAATGTGTAAACTTGCCCTTGTCTGACCTGCCCGAGGCTCTGATAGAAGCCTCCTGTGCAGCTCGGGATTCTGGGAGTGTGCTTTTAAGGAACAGATGCCAGGGCACAACAGCTGTTCCTCTGGCACCAGGATACAGCAAACTGGCCGAACCCTTTAACCAGGAACAAAAACAGCAACATGTGTTACTAAAACCCTCATCTCTCAATAGGACAGACAAACACACATCAACTTCTCACAGAATTGGGAATGTTAACCTTGTGGACACCATAAAATATAGACACCCATCAAGACACTTACGTACTTATTCACATTTTCCAATCTAGCCGTTATCAATATTTAGTGTATTTTATTTTACTAATCAGGCAAATCCCACTGAGATCTCTTTTTCAAGGGAGGCCTGGACCTGAAGACAACCTATTGTACATGTTTTTGGGGTCGGAGGTTAACCCAGAGAAAACCCATGCAAGCACAAAGAGAACTTGCAAACTCAGCACAGAAAGACCTCAAGTCCGGACCAGGGATCGAACCCAAGACCTTCTTGCTGTGAGGTGTCAGTGCTAACCACTGAGCCATCGTGCTGCCATCTGTTGGGAATATACTTCTTTCTGCACTTCCTATTTTATTTTTAGTGGCATATCCTATAAAAACTCAAATTCAAAGAAATACAATGATTCTTTGTGTACAAGAAGCTGCATTCACTCACCCTGGAAAGACTGTCTGGCTCTCTCCACAAGCTCGTCTATGGGGTAGCTGGCCAGGTCTCCTCGAGCGTGTTTAGTCTTGCAGTAGGTACACGCATTTAGGCACCTAGACCAACATAAGGAGACAGACAAAAGAAAAAAAGTCTAATCACTGCTGACAAAAAAAAAGAAGAAAACCATTTGGATGATGTAATTTTATATTACTGTTGTTATGCAAGTGTTAAGAATGTATTCGGAATTAATTGGCAACTGTTTTTGTTTTAATAAATGAGGACATACAAGTTATTGTGGATGAAGAGTGATGGAAACAGTAAGTGTACAAATAAACTGATGAGACATCTTAAATGATCATTCTTCCATGCTGTCAGGGTAAAAGAAAGGTCCAGGTCACCTGGAGACTTTTTTCCTAAAAATACTGTACCTTTTTTTTGTTATTTATTTATTTATTTATTTATTTATTTATTTATTTATTTATTTATTCCGTTA